CAGCCAGGCACTTGTCTCTTGCCCAGGATGTTAGAATGAATAGTGAGGTGAGAGCGGCAGCCCCAGGCAAGGCAAGTGGCAATTCAGCAGAACCCCCCTGCCTAGCTCTTGTGTTCTCAAGCACAAGACATGCCCACACCCTCTCCTCCACTGCCTCCCTTTTAATGATTAATGTACCCTTTAACTGTTAAAGATGTTGGGCCATTTCTATTGCATATAATGTGATTTTTCTAAAAATATATTTTTAAGGATTTTTTTTTTTGAGACAGTGAGTCATGTAAACCAGGCTGGCCATGAACTCACTAAGTGGCTGAAGACTTTGAACTCCTGATCTTCCCAAGTTCTATGATTACAGGCCTATGCAACTACACTGTTTTCACCATACTTGGCATGAAACCCAGGGATGCGGGCACTCTACCAACTGAGTTCCAACTCCGATAGAGTTTATTTTAGTTTGCATTAGGTCGAAGCAACCGTCTGTATATAGATATCAACAGAATTGTGATGCCTGCTGCTCCCTAGTAACCCAAGGTCTAGTCATGAGACAGGTGGCAGCAAGGAAGGACCCTCATCCTACGTGACAGTTTTTGCATTACTTAGTCACCCCCAAAAGGGCTGAGCTCCTTTCCTTCTGGCACTCCCTATAATCCTCTTTCTCAAGGCTCCTGTCAAAGTCTGGCCTCCCTGTGTCTCTTCTTTCATGTGAACGGCACATGAAGTGCTGACACTCAAGAGGACAGTAATTACTACATCTTTAAAATGATTTGGCTCACTATTAATTCCTATTTGAGACAGTCACTGTCTCTTTTCAATTTTAGGTTCATTTCTGAACCCGTCACAGAAATCAACTTGAATATGTTTATTAAGGAAAAATCAGGACGAGAGGCAGAAGCGCCTATGCTGTTAGCTCTGGCGTTTGGCACACACCATTTGTAGCTGGTCCCTCCTGCTCTGAGGACTGTGACAGTGAACAGGCCTAGAGATGCCCTGGCAGGCAACAGGAAGAGCTGCGTGAATGGACCCTGCAGGTCTAGACTGGAAGGAGTGAAAGGAAGGAGCCAGGGAAACGCGGCTGCTACGGTGCATGTGCTCTTCTTCCCTGTGACTGGACGGCTGGGGCCCTCGCTGGACGCTGAAGATGCCCTACATGTGCAGACTGCAGACTGCAGACAGGAGAGTACTACAGTGCTTTGTTGCTCCCTCTCACCAGAGGGAGACCAAGAACCAGCTACATCAATGGTCTTCCAGTTCACTTCAGCAGGACTCCCAGAGAGGACCAGCCTAGCAAAAGGGCAGCCCAGATGCTGAGGGCCACAAGGAGCACCAAGCAGCCCCAGACTGGAGGGCTCTGAATCCAGGCAGAAACATAACCAGAAGACAGATCATCTACCTGAACAACATGGGGCCTCTCACAAGTGAGATCAAATGCATACACTTTCATGGAACAAAACCATTCTTTCACTTGACAGGCTGTTAAGATGAAGAACAAGGAAACAGAAGAGAAACCCAAGCAATCTTAATTTTGTTCCACTTGAATAATGACTACCAGGAACAGGTGCCCACCTGTACACACCAGAAGTAGCTAGTGCACTGTCTCAGCCCACAAATGCCTACACCAACAATCTTGAAAGTTCTGAGAAATCTCATTAAACAGAGTCCTGCCTGCTGGGAAATGTGGCAAGAGTTGGTGGAACAGCCACACATAGCTCTGCAAGTCTGTAGTCAGTCCCACTGGCATCCTCAGACCAGGTCCTCAGCAGTGTTTACAACTTTGTACAGGGGAGAAAGCGTCCTTGGAGTTTCAGTTTTAAACGTATGGCTGACCATAGAGGAAAAGTCAGGAATCCACAGCAGCCCACAGAGACACACAGACACATGCATGAAACACAGCATCTGTTCTCAGCAGCACCAGAGCAGCCAATGGGATTCCAGATTTGGCATGCATCACATCCCACCACCTTGCACAGACACATGGCTTTTCCAGGGCTTCCAAATTAGACTTGTATCCATCACCCTGTCATGTCTGAGTAGAAGAAATTCTTAAAAGTACATCTCTGTCAAACACTCCATGCCTTTACAAACTCACTGTTAGAACCTATGGCTTCAGCTGTCAGAGAATTTATGGAAGGCTAGACAAGTCCCTTTAGGTGGTCCAGACCAATCATTTCTGTGTGAACTTCCCACAGGGACATGAGGCCAGTTACTTGAAATACTACGTATTAGACAGAGGCTGCAGATACGTAGCTAGTTTCCTTGTTCTAAGTGCTCTGAGGATCACATTCCTTCATGAAGGGAGAAAACTGTGCTGAGCCAAACATTATTATTTCCTTAAAGACCAATCAGCACTGAAGCTGTAAGATGCTAAGCACAAGGATGAAAACTGAGCAGCTGGCTGTAAGGTACGTGCCTCCTATGGAAGAGCTGAAAAGCCAGGGGCACAGACCGCCCTGTAACTCACTGGCACTGCGATGGGAACTGCCAGGTGCGGGTGGCACTGAGGGTTTCAGTTTCTGCCACTGGCTATTCTAGAACTCATTTAGGGATCACAAGGGTTAATGGCTCTTCAGCAGCTTACAAGGCCCATCCACTCAAAAAGCGACAGAAAGTTAATTATGTGAGATCAGCTGAAACCCTGCTCAGGTTTCTGACTCACTTGATTTTATGAGAAGACAACGAGTTGACATATTCTGCCTCTGAAGGAGCCAAAATGAGCAAGCTGCTCCCATGACAGCCAATCCGGGCAGTTCTTCCAATCCGGTGAATGTATTCTGCAGGTGAAGACGGTGCACTGTACTAAAAAGGACAACACAAATGAAGGCATGGGTAGATCAAGGGACTGCCACTAACTGGAAGAACAATACCCTCACCTGCCTCCAGGCACCCTGGCTATGGCTACTCTCACACAACTCGGAAGCTCCGGGGTTCCCTGGAACAAGGCTCTCACATAAAAATGTGAATTGTGGCCAAGTTTCAGATGAAGAAGACACATCTCACTCAGCATCTCCTTTTAATGTCACTGCTCTACAGGTCTCTTCATTGTCCTATTTGCATCTTTTCACTGAAGTGACTGTGTACGGTGAAATGCAAGAAGGTGGGGGAAATTTCTCCAGGATGACCACATGACCTTGGCCTACTTCCTTGGTAGACATAGCAGCTGGGAGGCAGCAACAGCGGACAAGAGGCGTAGGGATGAAGGGCACCAACCACTGTGCTGGCAGAGCCCATCTCTGCTGCTGGCCCCAGGGGCAGGCCAACCACCTTGCTGCAACTCTACTCCCAGTCGGGTAGGGAAGTACAGACAGTCAAGATCAGACAGGGCAGGCTTCTGAGTCAAGACAAGGGCAGTTCCCACTCAAAGAGAACCATCAGGCAGGCATCTTGCTATCTCCAGCAATAACTCTGCCATCTTTGGAGCTAGATGATCAGATTTACTTTCTTTGTTGCTACACAAATGGAAGATCAGCAGACCAAGGTGACTATACTACATGAAAGGCCAGCCATTCTTAACTTGTCAGTATTTACAGTACAAGGCTTCCCATAATCAAATCAGAGTCTGCCCCCGGCACACTAAAATTACCCCTGTCTACCCATCTCCCATTGGTTCTGTGGCCAGCAGGAAAGAGACACAATGCTTCCAGTCCCAACATGATAACTTAAGACGAACAGATCAGATCTCTGTCTAAGACAAGCCACAAAATGTGAATAAACCATGAGTCATGTAAACAGGGCACATGTCCCTTGGCCCCAACAAACAGGCTTAAAAATACCAATCTGCAGACTAATGAAAAGAAAAGAAAAAAGCCAAACCAAACCAAGCCCACCAGACTACAGTGCTAACACCTGTACCCTCCGGCAAAGCAGGAGGTATGTGTAAGATGCTGTCAGGACCTTAATTGCTCCCTGCAGGTCAATGTACATGGACACAGCTCTCATGACAGCTGAGCCATCTCCTTCTGGACACAATGAAGCCTCCCAAGGGCCTGGGTATCTCCTGTTATTTTCAGACTCTTGAAACTTTGGTTTGTTACATGAATTAGTCCAGAAGCAGGAGAGTTTGCCACTCTCTCCTGAGACTGTTGCAGAGGGGCTGGGCTAAGAAAAGATGTCAGAATCATACAGATAGGACTGGCTGCTGCCTGGTTACCAGGGCAACACCCAAAAGGGTAATAATGATCATTCAATGCATCTTCTCATGCTTATATACTCACACCTTAGTGATGAGATGATTACCTGAACAATCCAGGTGACTTGTGGGAGATCTAAGCCTCGAGCTGCAACATCCTTTAAAACAAAGAGAATATAGTTTATGGTTTAAAGCTGAGTTTCTCTAGCCCACACACCTCCATTTTTTTTTCTTTTTCTTTTTTTTTTTGAGACAGATTACTGCTCAAATTTCTAGGGCTAGAAATTTGTAGCCTAGGCTGGCTGTGAAGTTAAGGTAATTCTCCTACTTCAGCCTTACCAATGTGTTACCATGTCTTGCTGAGTTTCTGAACTTTTAAAACTTGGTAATACAAATTCTGAAGACACACACACATATGCACACATGCATGCACACACAATTCTGAATACATCAGGTGGCTTAAGGGCCCACTGAAATCCACCTATCATTAAAAATTCTGAATCAGGGGTCAGCGAGATGGCTCAGAGGATAAAAGCTCCTGCCACCAGGCTTGAAAATCTGAATTTCATCCTTAAAACCTACGTAATGAGAAGAGAGTACTTCCCACATGTTGCCCTCTGACTTCCACTCATGTACCCATGACCAATGACCTGGGGTGAGTTTGACAACTTTCATGACTCAAAACACAATGTGCAGGTCAGCCCCAAGACCTTAAGCTGTCAATGTGTCTTGTAAGAATTCTAAAAACCTGGATAGCTTTGATGGCACACATCTGTAATACTAACTACTTTAACTTGGGAGACTGAAGGGAGGAGTATCAGGATTTGAAGGTCATCTCCAATTACACAGCAAGTATAAGGCCAGCCTGGGTTATGGGTGAGCATGCTGCAAATGAACAGCCATGCCTCAAATAAAGGAAAGGGCTATTTAGCATAAATGTATCGACTGACCATTATCCCAGCCCTATATTACTAGTAACAACAGCCACACAGTTTGCTGGTATGCTTCTGGAACACCTCTCAAGGCACTTGTTTGTGAAAGGGGGTGAGCTGTAGTGTTTACTGAGGATGCTATCTGTTGGGTTTAGAGCAGGAAGGATTAAGTAGTTTGCAGTCACTTCTGGGAGTTAAGATTAGGACACACTCCAAACCTGCCCACCACTTCAAAGACTTGACTGGACAGCTGAGAAGCCATAAAAGGGATGGAGATTTATTTTCCCTTTCAACTGGTAACCACGCAAAGAGCCAAAGTTCTTAGCTCTCTCTATCCTTCTGCCATTCTGGCAGAGACTAGATGAAATTGCCCAGGCTGTAGCAATAATGTGCACTTAGCTTTCACATTCAAATCCAGTAGCCATAGCAAGAGTCCAAGTGGAGCTCAGCATTTTACCCATAATAGTTCAATTAATCTTTAATTAAAAATATTAAATTTATTCATTGGGGGAGAGGGTTCATGCCACTGCACATGTGTGGAGGTCAGAAGATAACCTATAGTACTGGTTCTCTCCTCATAGTACATGGTTCCTAGAACTAAAATCATGTTCTCAGGCTTGATGGCAAGTTCAAGTTCCTTTACCTGATCAGCCACCTCACCAACTTGCCTTAGCCAATCTTAAAAGCAGTTATCATCCCCATTTGTAAGAGGGAAACAAAACAAAACAACAAGAACAAAAAACAAGGTTTGAAGCCTAGGACACCATAATGTGGGGGAGGTTTAACCCTCAGATGCTGGCCTGCTTCACTTTTGCAAGGCCTTATTTGCCAATAGTACATTCTGCCATCCAAGAGATGCTGAATCCGTTGGTGGCGCACGCCTTTAATCCCAGCACTCGGGAGGCAGAGGCAGGTGGATCTCTGTGAGTTCGAGGCCAGCCTGGTCTACAAAGCGAGTTCCAGGACAGCCTCCAAAACAATACAGAGAAACCCTGTCTCGAAAAACCAAAAAAAAAAAAAAAAAAAAAAAAAAAGAGAGAGAGAGAGAGAGATGCTGAATCCCTCATGTGCTGAGGTGGGAATGCAGAACTGTACACACTCTCATTGCAGAGAGCCAGGGAACACCTACAGAACATATCAACAGCAGCCTCACTTCTACAGAGATGTTGGCAAAAGGCTATTCATTCAGTAATGTCTATGAAGAAACAGACAATTCTACTAACTTGGAGAGTTTCTAAGAGACCTTTATGCATGTGCAATATGCTTTTATGTAAGAAAAACAAGCATACTTGTTTAAAAAATGATCACAGAGCTCCACATTTAGAAAAATAGTTATCTTTCGGGAAAAGAGACCAGGAGGAAGATGGGCAAAAGACACATAGGGGACACTAGAGTGTCTGTTGTGAAGGAGGGTGATCAGCACTTATGTAACAGGAAATCAGCGTAGCTTACAGTTAACCCTTGCCAAAGACTAAAGCCTAGAAGCCAAACTTAATCAACCATCTAGAACCAACAAGAATATAGGAGACAGGAAATATGCTAACCAACTCACAAAAAATACAAATTAGAACCAGACCATGAAAAACTGAAAGCTAGAGAGACAGCTCAGTAGGTAATGTACTCAGGAGGTAAGCATTTGAATGCCCAGAAACCACACAAAACCAGGCACAGTAGTGCATGTCTATAAGCCCAGTGATTACAGTTGGACTGGTTAATGGAGACAGGGGAATCCTTGGAAGTTCATGGGCCAATCCGCCTGGCATACTCAGTGGGAAACAACAAAGACAATTTGTCTCAAATAAAGTAGAAGACAGACTGAAGTTGTCCTCTAGCTTCCATACATGGGCACAGTCATGCCTACACTTGCAAACACACAGGAAAAGAAATTTAAAAAACAAATTATCTGATTTCCATAGCCCCCCCAAATCCAGGAGTGGGTGGTGTGAGAAATAATAAAAATCATTAACTAAATGGATGAATACCCCCAAAAGATGCTCAAAACTGCCAACAGCTATATGTGGTGGTTTACACCTATAATTCCATAATCCCAGTGTTCTGAGTCAGGTGCAGGAATGTGACATTGAGCTAAAGGCCAACCTCATGAGGCCATCCAGGGCCACATGGTGAAATTGTGTCTTACACAATAACAAAAAGTTACTTCTCTGGACAGAGAAATTTGAGGTGGTTCTTACTTTTCTTTTGGTATTTTCCTAGTTTTAAACAATGGGCGTTATTTCCCAAAATTTTTTTGATATAAAAATCTTTAACTTAAACCTACAGAAAAGTGAGTTGTTTGTCTATCTTTTCCCTAACCCATCAACTGCTAACCTTGACACATCTGCTGAGCCCACAGACACAGGAGACACACACATACATGTGAGCCTGTACTCTCTCTCTCTCTCTCTCTCTCTCTCTCTCTCTCTCTCTCTCTCTCTCTCTCTCTCTCTCTCTCTCTCTCTCTCTCTCTCTCTCTCTCTCTTTAATTGCCTAAAGCCACTTGCAAATGTAGTAACAACCAGATCAGTCTTTGATAATTCAGCAAGGACTCCTAATTAAGAGTGCTCTTCTACTGACCAACATGAGAAAATCTGAGAAACACCATTTATTTCCTCATCAACCATCAGTGTCAAATTTCTCCACTCTACCTGAGATGACTCCTATGGATGCTTTTCTTTCCAGTCCAGAAGTGAGCAATGAACACAATCCCTGCTCAAGAGCTCTAGAATGCCTTAATCTGGAAACAGTGGTAGTCTGAATGAAAACGGCCCCCATAGGGTACGGACTTGTTGGAGGAAGAGTCACTGGGGGTGGAATGGGCTTAGAAGTTTCAGAAGCTCAAGTCAGGCCCAGTGGCTCTCTATTTTCCTGCTGCCTGATGACCCAGATTAGCACCATGACTGCCTGCATGCCCCCATGCTTCCTGCTGTGATGATAATGGATGAAACCTCTGAACTGTAAGCTAGTCCCAATTGAAGGTTTTCTTTATAAGAGTTGTCATGGTCATAGTGTCTCTTCACCGCAATAGTGCAATGATTATGTCAGTGCTCCTGCTTTCCACTGGCTTTAGGGTTTAAAATTTATTTTATGTGTATGTGTACCATGTGCATACAGGTGCAGTGGAGACCAGAAGAGGATGGAACTGTTTTGTGAACCACTGATGTGGGTGGATGCCAGGAAACCAACCCAGGTCCTCTGCAAGAGCAGCAGAGCAGCAAGGGCTCTTAACTGCTGAACCATCTCTCCAGCTCCTTGTTTATTTTTTTGATGTTTTCCCAAGAAACATTCCACACTCTAGGTATACCTACTTGCTTCCACGTGGTAGGTTTCAGGCAGGCATTCTGGCAGGACAGTACCTTTGGGGCAATGTGAACTACTCATGGCTCTATTACAGGGAGGCCTGTTGGCTGAACATGGGAAATGCTGTGCTTAGTCAGTAAGGTAAGTGGTGAGTGGTGTCTACCAGCTCTCTCCACTGAGAAGCGACAGAACTGCAGAGTCAGATTCAAAGTCATGGGAGTATCCTTCCTCTCAACATTTCACCAGAGATCCTTGACTATATCAACTGCTACTCTGATGATATAAAGAATGAATTTCTAAGTTCACCATGTTTTCCTTAATTTTACTGCAAGAATGTCTACACTAAAAATAACTTTCCCTTTCACTTTTCAAAAGTAAGGATTTTGCCAAGTGTGTGGCCTTTAATTCCAGCACTTAAGAGGCAGAGGCAGGCAGATCTCTGTGAGTTTGAGGCCAGCCTGGTCTAAACAGAAAGTTCCAGGTCAGCCAGGGCTACACAATGAAACAGTTTCAAAAATCAAAACACCTATGAAAGTAAGAATTTGGACAAACAGGCTAAGTTTCTATAAGAAGCAAGGACAGGACTGAACGAGATGTTTGAGCAGGATTTGGCTGTGTAAATGGAAGTTAATGCTGTCACCCAGCATCCTCCAGGAACCTGAAGCTGGTGCTGTGGAGCTCACAATCTAGAATGCTCTTCAAGCACGGGGAGCAAAAGCAGCTCTCACACTAGCCACTGCCAACACTGAGAAAACTGATGGTTTTCTAGTCTGCTAAACTCTTGCTGTGTAATGATTAGCATTCTGCTCTGCTGCAGGACACAAGATTGGGGGTTCCCAAGCTTTTCAGACAGGCTTTGTAAAAAACGCTCTGCTGGGATAGACATAGACAAGGACGGCAGCGTCTAGATGAAACTGAGCCTGTGTCTG